AATCTTATGAGAGCAAATAATCTCGAATCACTTAGTATCAAAAGAGTCATGGAGCATTTTTGCCTGTAAAAAGCAAACTTACACTTCGAACTTTTGATTAAGACTTGAAAGCGGCGACAGATTCTTCGAGAATATTCAGCCGTACCAACAAGTGCTACAGAAAGGCCCATTGTCCTCGTTACAAGGAGGACGCATGATTTGGGATAAAGATATGAATAGTAATCCTACCAGTGCATATGTCAGCGCTGTATGGCAGCGAGTGTCGGCCATTTACGAGAACAGAAACCCGCAACGTTGGCAGACAAAGTGCTGCGGTGGACATGTGGTCTTACAATGCTAGATCAAGTTTCTAAGACATTCGTGTTGTGATGAAAATTGCACCTTTGTCACAATGATGCAGGAAAGATGACTGCGATGGTACGGATATGTGAGGAAGAGAAATGGAGCGCATCTTACAAGAATAGTGATGCTGCTAGAGCTTCAGAGATAAAAACCATGAGGGTAGGAAATGTGGTAGATGCACAACATCAGGGATGACTCAAAGATAGATCAATACCATAACATGCATCGGAATGTCCAAGACATCTGCTTGTAGCAGACTCTGCGTGAACAGGAAATTGCAAAGATTAATGAACAGAAGAAATGCTTGGCATCTGGCCTTTTAAAGTATATAAATAGAACAGTGAAAGAGCACACATTACAAATCGATTTGTATATTTCAAATTTTACTTAAGAGGTCTCCATAGTCATTTAAATATGAGGCAAAAATAATGACAACTGGATTATTGAAACTTACAAAGGCTGATGTGGGAAAGCGCCAAGAAAAGTGAGATATGAAAGGTCACGTTAACCTTCTGTGAGTATTAACTTTCAGAACTGTTTTTTTACAGCAATCGAAAAGTCGCAGTGGCTGTGTTTGGTTTGAAAAGATCAGATAAGTCCTTGCTGATCAGGTGCGTTTGGTCAATATGACACCAGCAGGTTCTATGTGTTTTCAACTCGACCCTCCCAGTACCATTTAATGCTGGAAAAGTTTGTCTCAAACTTAGGTCATGGGGATTCATCAGTGGAAGATGTTAACATCGGTATTAAGCGAAAAGCGAGCGGTGATGTTTTTGCTAAGTTGTGAAGCTTTTACCCTTTTTGAAGCCTTTCTCCTCACGTTTACATTTTGACAGTTAGTATAATATATAACTATTCTAAAGCGAATGCTTTCTCTCACTGCTCCTTCATGACCCAAGACTTTATCTCATACCGCTCTGCTCCTCCTCCTCCACATCTTTCCTCTCTCCCTTCTGATCAACACCGAGTGTTGCGCTATGATATAAGATTTACCTTTACAGCAATTTAAGGATATTTGAAATCCAGGAGTGTGGTAAAAAAAGATTCACAAGTGGGAATAGGTTGCGTTATGTGTATATCATCAAGAAATCCTGCTATGATGAATGGTCTTGATTGCTCTCAGTCTTGTCTCACTACATACTTCAATATACTGTACTTCAAACAAATTTTGCCTTTTGAGCAAGCTTCTAAGGCTGACTGCAACTAGAAGTAAGACCTTCACATTGATCTCTAATGGAAATTGTTCGCAGTTGTTTTAATGTTTCCTGTCTACTAAGGTGATGTTTGCAGTCGCAGCAGAAATGAAGTGTGATATTTTCACTTTACTATTTGAGAATTACCGCTTTAATATCGTTCGATAAATCCGTTTCCATGCTAGGAGTGTACGTGGCCTCAAGACAAGTCCAAAGTGGTGCAGTCACCAGCAGAGGAATAAACCAATGCATCGTCACAGCTCCTACTAGCGGCATTCCAGACATCAACTGCAAAATAATCACATTCGTTTCGCAAGTAGCACTGGTATTTTGGTTTTTCATTTTTATACTACCAGGTAAAGCAGCCATATTATGGAGCTATACGAAGCGATGTTCTTTACGCTTTCGTTTAGATTCTTTCAAAAAGCGCCTCATTTC